ACAATTTGGTCTCTATTTCCGTCCTTAATTGCAACTTCTCATTTGCACAGTGAGTTGTACTTAGAACCCACTTCTCCATGGCCTTTATTTTCCTTTATTGTCACTTAAAATGAATTAATAAGCCAAGAACTTGATTTCTACTCTTGCAAGAGTATTAAAGGGACCATCTCTACATCATAATTTTTATCATTGCATCTCTAAAACAGCATAACAAAACCAACCTGCACCAATCAAGGAAAATTCAACAATGCCATTTCTCAAAAGACATAGATCAAAACCAACTTGTAAAAGACACCAATTCGTGACCAAAAAAACCCCCACTGCACTACTTGCTTAGCAAGTGAGAAAATCCACATCACTTCAACTTAAGAATGAGGATAATTTAATCAATTGGTCCAGAAGGACTTCACAAACCCCACAGTAAAAGACGAGCTGGCCTTTACCTTGCCTTCTATGGGGGTCTCTCCTCATGAAGAATCACTAGGTGGACAGATCTAACAGCATGAAACAAACATCCAGGGAAAGTAACACACACTAACTGAAATATAACACAAGTAGTAATCTGACCTGTCTGGAGGACGCAGATATCAACTAACTTTCCCTTCTAGTGGTATCACAAGAGAGAAAGCTTAATGAGTAAAGGGCTGGAGTGGAATATGTACCACCTAGGTTCTCTTCTCAGCTTTCCAGCTGACTTGCCCTTGAGTCATTTCTCTATTTCCACTCCCATCCCCTGCTTGTTTTCATTATTAGCTATGAGTATTGCCAAGTAAGAACCACCTTTTACTATGAATTTTTCCAGGGCCCACATCTGTTTCTGTGGCACAGTTAGGAGCTTTGAGGCAAGCTGGCAAATCAAAGAACAAGGAACAGAGTTTACTGAAACCATTTTTCACAACACTTCTATCGAACTATATCCTTGGATTATCTAAAAGTTAATGAGCTTGAAAAACTAGAGAGACTTTTTTGCATTTACCTCCTTCCCTAATACCCAAAGTGGTTTTTTTTAAGCAGTTTATTGGATCAGTTACTACACATATATTCTCAAACTCTGAGCAGTAAAATCTGGTTTAGGAAAGTTCAATTTGTTGTCTCTCCCACAAAAATATAAACCTCTTGTTTTAACCATTCAAAATAAAGAACATAGCCACAAATATTTACAGTACTCAAACAACTAAGTATAAAAAAGCCATGCACACAGCACAGAGATGATGCATATGTAACACTATCAGGTTATTTAATACCCTTTAAAGTCTCAACTACAGCTTTACTTAGAGAGGCCTCTAACAGTTTTCCCAAGAAGTCAAAAAATACAAAAACAGTTGTCATTTTTTGTAAACCAAAAGGTTCCATTTTCAATATTATTGTGTCCATATGTTAAGGTAGTAACAATGTTTATACATTAACCTATCCGTCATATAATAATCAACTAATGAATTACCATCATAGCAGATATCTTAGAATTGTGTTGTAGGTAGATGCTTAATATTTTGCAACATGAATGGGGGAAAAAGGGAAAAAACAAGAATATACTAAAGACAAAGCTATCTTTCAAATACTTAAATTAAACAAAAATGACTCATTACTGCAACTGCCACTGAAAAGAGTGGCAATAAACTTTGACTGCAAAGAACCACGAGAATGTCTGTATTCATGACGGCATTCCCTGAAGAAAGGAACCATACAGAGGATTCAAACCAATCTGTATTGCACAGGACAAACGTACACACACTGGGACAAACATACACACTGGAATTATGGACCATAGTAGGATCAAGATAAACACAGCAGGTACAGGTTGCCACAAGTCCATCGGTTATTTTCATTCCCTGACACAACTGGCCCCTACATCCACCATCAAGATATAAGTCGGGTGATGGTAAAACTGAGGAGGGTATTAAGCCCAAGAAAACACATACCCAAAAGTGACAGTGTGACACAGAATTTTTTCTAATTTCTTAACTGAAATTTCAGATCTCCCTCCTCAGAAAACTGTAATCTAGCACAGCTTGCTTAATTAGAGAAAGGATATGATGAAAACATGGCTCTATGTGAACAGCGCTGCATATCCAAATTGACTGTAGCCCTTCCTTCCACCCAGTTTAGCAAGAACGTTCAGCCCTGCACAATGACTTCTCACTTGTTTATTGCTGCAGCAAATGTTTGCTGCAATGTGAATGACATGCTGAACATACCAAAACCAATAAAACGATAGCTATTAAAACCAAAAATATCAAAACGGACTGGAAAAGCATTTTGACAAGGAGGAAACATTAAACTAGGTCTTCGTAGCATTTGCTAAATACAGAGGCTCATCATATTTCAGGCCATTTGTATTTAATTGTGCTTTCATCTGAAGAGCAGTGGATATGAATGCACATCAGGCAGCAGATGAGTCAGATGTTCTGAAGAGGTCCAATCAAGGACACCCCACAACGCAAGAGCACTGCATGCATAATGTCTCGCACAACTGACTTTGGCTATAGCCTGAAGTTTCTTTTCAGCACCTCATCCCATTCCATGGTGGCACTGAGAAGAAAATAGTAAGTAGACCTGCAGTCACATAATTCAAAAAGTTTAAACACATGAGACTCCAGGAACCTGATGTCCACACACCCTTTTAAAGCTGCCAGGAAGACATACTCAGATTAGTAGATAATTATCTAAAACTCGGGCTTTTGTTCTTCCATTGTTTCAGTTGAAAGATTAAAAGTGCTCGTACATCTCAAGGTCAATGCTTCCAGAAGAGTTTGTCAAATGAAGTCAAACTCACAATGGAATAGGTCACAACACTTCAAAAATCAGGTTTTGGAGTGGTAGACAGACACAGAAATTATATCAATTTCAGCACAAAGAAAGGAGAATCCCTGGTCTTTGGTGGAGAAAGCAGGTAAACCATGGGCATGGAGACAAGGAGCAGCACAGGAGGTTAAATCTACTGCACTGTCCTTGAGGTAAACTAGCATGCCTTTTATACCGTCCTCTAATCCTTAGATTAGTTTCTCCATTTTGGTTTTAACAATATTAACTGAAGTGCAGAGGCCATCAGCAGACCACAACGTTGCCAAAAATTCAGTTGAATCATTAAAAGTGATTTATAACAATAGACAGTGGATAAAAATCATTGGTTGCAATCCTCAGCTGTTAAACTGGCTCTCTGCATTAAACATGCAAATTGGAATTGTTAATTCAAGGTAAACATGGAAAAGAACTCATCTTCTCTGTACTCCTTTTAATTCAGCGCTCAAATCAAACCTCATCTCCATACAACAAATGGAAAAAGGAGTAGCTTGTATGTAAACGAAAACCAGCTCAAACTCTACATAGCCTACATACTGCAATTTAATTTATTTTTAAGTATAAATTCTAGCTCTGGCATTATTTTGTAATCTTGAAGTGAAGCAATTTAGGCTATTATCTGCTTTTTCCTTTTCTCATCAACACAGCTCCTCTTAGGGTACAAATGAGGCTAGCTCTTGATCACGCTCTTCTTAAATCATCTTCGTGCTGTTAGCTCTGCAAAGAATGATGCCTGCTCCAGAACACTGCCATTGCTAATCACTCAAATCAGGTCTCTTATAGGTCTATAAGAAGGAAGAGTGCTGAGGGCAGCAGAATGAAGGTGAGATTGTTTTTCTCTTCCTTTTCAAGGAATATATCTGAACACATCCCTTTCCTTCACCTTCATGGATCACTCATCCTGTCAAGCATAAGTTCCCCTGCGCAAAAGCTATGGCTGCCTTGGCTTTGCATTGTACGAGAACCAACAGAACTACATGCTTGAGGCATTGCCCAAAGCACAAATGAAAAACAGCATGAAACAGATTCAACAATGGTGTTCTCTATGGATATTTAGTGACAAAAGCAGGGACACCCATCTCAAAAAGAGTAAGAAAGCTGTTTGAGAGTACGAGAACCAACAGAACTACATGCTTGAAGCATTGCCCAAAGCACAAATGAAAAACAGCATGAAACAGATTCAACAATGGTGTTCTCTATGGATATTTAGTGACAAAAGCAGGGACACCCATCTCTCTTTTTGAGATGTTTGAGACTCAGTGGTGTCAACACTGACTAAACAAATTATTCATTACTGCAGTATCCTGGGCTCTGAAGCTCCACTTCCCATCTGTGAGTGCACACATTCACAGAACACTGATGATGGGAAAGGGCAGAGGCTGACTCTTCTAACCAAAGTCTCACCATGGGAGACTACCAGGAGGCAGAGATGCAGTACGCACATTGCAGCTGAAGCTGTCAACCTGTACTTACCCCCCTTGCATTTTGACTGCCAGCTACCCCACAGGGAGATGCGTAACTTTTGACTGGTTATCTGCCCAGATGAGACCTGCACATTGCCTGCCAACAGGCCAATTGCCATATGCTGCCTCTCAGCTATTAAAAAGCCAAGAAAATGGTTTGTAGGCAGTACAGGTTGCATGTTGTGTCAGACTACAGAAAAAAAACTTGAGTAGTTTTCTTTCCGATCATCTTTATGCTTGAGGATAAATCATTTTGTATCAAATTAGCCATATGAAAAGAAAGCCTCCAGTACAACTCAAGGATGTTATAAGGTAGAGAAAGATTCTAGAAGCTGCACCATTATTATTTATCAGCCAAAGAAAGGCCATTGGCTAAACTGTTACAGAGGGTTTCAGACAAAAGCAGCACTGCAACTGCAGAGGGTCCCAGCTCATCTGCTAGGCTGTATTGCAGGTGCAACTGTCTCCTGCACACATTGATATCTGAGAGAACTTGGCATCTTCTGCTAATGGTAACTCTGGTTCCACCAAGGAAAAATCAGTTTCTGAATACAAAAGCCTTTTAAGACATTTTAAATAATTGAATCGTATTAACTTCTGCGCTTACAGGAAGAGCAGCAAGGGCTTGTGCTGCAGCATTTGAAAAGGTTCTATTAGGAAATTGTTCTGATTATTTTAATGCACCCCCAAAAAAAAAAAACCAAACCTGGGGAAAAAAATGCTAATTTTCTTCTTTACCTGAGATGCTCCATTTAGGCAAGGCACTGAAATAGGGATGTTACACAACAGCTCCAAGCATTGTTCAGATGCTATGCACGCCTCCTGCCCATCGGGAACCACTGCGTGCCTTCCAAGTTGCCCATAGTCCGCTCTGCCCCAGGTGAATACCTTGCCAGTTTCTAAACACAAAACACATTTCAAGATTACTTATTCACTAGGTTCCTGGAACATCTGGATACCAATTCAAAACTAGAACAACACTTCTTAATGCATCTTATCTAAAGCTTCAAAAACCTAGTGAAAACTTACTTTTGGGAGCAGAAGAAAAAATACTAAAACTAGCTAAAGACATATTATGATGTACTTCTATGCAGTTACTCAAACTTCATTAACCTGTTTTTTAGCAGAATAACATCTGTAGGATGGCCTGGGCTATAAATGAAACCATGTCAATAAAGCTGCATAACCTGGACATTCTGCATACAATATATACGTATACATCATTGGATGTGAGGAAAAATTTCTTTACTGAAAGAGTGGTTAAACGTTGGAAGAGGCTGCCCAGGGAAGTGGTTGAGTCCCCATCCCTGGAGGTATTTAAAAGACGTGTAGATGAGGCGCTTAGGGACATGGTTTAGTGGGCATGGTGGTGTGGGGTTGACAGTTGGACTCGATCTTAGAGGTCTCTTCCAACCTTAATGATTCTATGATTCTATATACTTTGGTTATACAAAGGACATATTTTTATCTTAACAGAAGCATACACAAAACAGCTTATTCTGAAACATAAAAGATTCTTGTCTATTCCCAGTCTTTGCCATAGAGACATCCATCACATGTCCTGTGTTTAACATACAGTTTATGGTTACCTGATAGAAGTTACCTTCTGTCACAACTTCTGTTAGCAGAGTAACAGCCCTCAGGACAGCAACTGGTTAGTCAGGAACACCACCACAGCTGTCATTAAGCATTGGAAATGCACTGGTTTGTCTTCACAGGAATCACACATTGGCCACAGAAAGAGAACTTTAAATGAAATCAGCACTATATGGATCACCCTTCTCTCCACATATTATATTGAACACAGTTCACTGCTGTGGGACTGACACCCAAAAGTCCATTCTCCAGTATGGATAACATCCATAAAGCAATTCTTTTTACCTTCGATTCCCAATATTAAAAAAAAAAAAAAAAACCAACACCAAACCACAATCGTACTAAGCAATAGCTTTATTTTCTTAATAAAGTAACTAGATCTCTGCAGGTAAGTCATGAAAAGCTGTCCCTTCGAGGCTTCCAATTAAAAAAAGTTATATACGCAGAGCATAAACAGTATGTTCTCAACTCGGTTTTGACTAGAAGCAGCAATCCGCATTCCAGCCCAGAAGGAAGCCTGCAATGACCCTGAGTTGCGTACACACTTCAGCCAAGCCTCAAACTCCTCTCCAGAATTGAACTCAAGTCACCAAGTCATAAGCCAAATGATGTGGATTTGAGGAAAATATGAAGAAGTCAAGCAAGTCAGCTTCAACACACACACTTCTCCCCTTGTCAGTCAGTACAGACAGATCCCACAGAGGGGTCAGGAGCAGGGGGTAGCGGTCATACCACCCAAAGATGACAACTGTTTTCTTAACGCATGCCATAACATAAACCTTCGGAAACCTAAACACCTCCGTTTTCCTTTGGGTGCTGCTAAACTGTCTTGAAGGAGACACAGGTGGGCACTGCTGGTTTGTGGAGTTTGAGCTGATAATGTATCTCGTAAATAAACTGGAAACCTCTAACTTCGTATATTTAAACAGACAAGAAGTATATGCATTTTCCTCGGAAATCTGCTAGCAGTGGTATCTTCTACTCCAATCCTTGCAACAGTTTTTCAGATGTATTGTCTCAGTTCACTGATAATGCTTCCTCTGAAATAATTAAGTGCTGAAATTAGTTGTCCTTTTCTCTCAAGGGCACAAATACTTTCTTCCTTTGGAGCTTCCTAGCAGTTCAGGAAAAAGTTGAAACTAGTCACATACTACTTTTGATACAAGTGAGGTCGTTCAATATAGTAGCTTCATTTTTTTTAGACTAAAGCATTAAAACAAGTTTCATTAAGAGAACTTCCAGTATACCTTACAGAGATTAGGAAAACAGTTTGCAGTTTAAAAAACACGCTTATTCTGGAGGTAATATATTTACTTTGCAATTTGTATAGATCTCTGCTAAAAACATCTGCAGCTACAAAAATGTTGCAAGAAGTCTCCTACATCAGTATGTTACGTAGCAAATTTAAATGTAGACTAAGCTTTAGGCTTTTACATCAGAGCAGGTTACTGTACCTATCCAGAACCCTATTAATGGACTGGAAAAGGACAGGCAGGCTGCTTTATTTTGTATCAATACAGGAACTGAAGCTGAGTTTTATGAAATTCAAAGCCAGAAAGAATTTCTGTAATATCTAGTTAGATCATTAACATACCATAGGCTCTCAAGCGCTACCCAGACATTGCTGTATTGATCCCAAGGACCATAATTTAACTAAAGCATTTCAACTCTCAGAAGCCAAAAGCATCAATGCCACAGGCCAATAAAAATCAGCAACCTGCAAGGCCTCTGGAAAGGCAAGCAGTGTATTTAATAATACAGACCCAGATCCTCATATC